CTGCTACTGGCTTCCAAGTTGAAGACAGTACATATCAACCCCAGGTTCCTTTAATAACAAGCAGTAAAAAATCTTAAAAGAATCTAAAAGTCAAAACTTTATTAGAAAGATTTTCTCCAATGTTCTCCACATTTTGTGGTTCCCACCTTTGATTTAGAGACAGAAGATTGGATTGTGTAAATTGTGAAGATCTACTAATATTTTGTACATGGTTATAATAACATATCTGTCCAGAGATGTATATTCTGCGTTTGAAAAGTGTTATCAACAAATGTATCAAGCCATGGCCAAGCGAATGATAACAAGATAAATGTATTTGAAGGTGAGTTGTACCATGTCACGTATCGTCTGTGAACTGATGCATCTCTGTTAACGTCAACCTATTCCAGCTCTTTTCACTCCTCCCTTTCTTTTCCAAGCAGGAAAGTCTGGCATGATTAGCATTTGAATATTCCTTAAAATATAAGCGAGAGTTCTGATTGGCTCTGAGTCATGTGGTACTCTTTACTGCCATGGAAACAGGGTTCAAACAGACATTCTCACGTTTGATCCACTTAACAATGCTTTTAAGAAATATTTGATTCCTGAAATAGTGCAGGAACTAGAAACGTAACATTTGCAAAGCAAATTTGCCAAAATGTAATTTGCAAAGCAAATGTTTCCCTTCACTACTGCTTTGTTTATTCTTACTCAAACCCACTCATATCTAAGGTGACCATGCAGCCCCTCTTGAATTCAGTTCTGCATGGCACTTGCAACATGATGTAACCCAACACCAGTTACCATGGTGACAGACGTCTGGTCCTGGTCATTGTTTGGAGAAGAAGAGTAAGAAGAAGAAACAGAGCAAAAACAACATGTTTTCCTTCTGCAAAGGTTACAACATACTCAAGGACCAAACTTTTGATTGGGATGGGGCCAGACTTCATGTACATGTACTCTGCTTGGGAGAAATCATTGGAGTGACTGGGGCTAGAAAAGGATGGATGCCAGTCTAGCATTTTGCAGTTGATACATGTACCATGTGATATTGTAACAAGCTTATGTGATTCTGGGAAAACTACTGTTTGTACAGTTACAAATATTGTTCACAATAGTGCAACTAGTCTGTCCTAGGTGCTGTCTTGTTTCCTTTAGTGTTGTTGATGTTACTTATTATAGAGATAAGGCCATGAAAAGTTACTCCACCAGAAAGAAACCTGCATAACGTAAAAATTTTTAATGATTATAAGCAGACCAAGTCTAACCCTTTGAAACTATTAAACTACAACAATTATAGAATTGTATAGACGGTCAAGTCTTTGTCATTACAGTTGTCATCCTTTTTATCTAAAGAAAGTGCCCTACTACACATGTACCTTACTTTTGACACAAATTCTGTAACATTGCCAAGCCAACAATGTACTAAAATGATGAAGTGGTATCAGCTGCCTTTGAGTCATTTGATGATTTCACAAAAAGTGGAATATCCAATGACTGTCATATAATTATAATGGTGGTATAATTTTTCACTGCCTGGTGAATATAGAAGATAATTTCTTGAAACACTTAAACATGCTGGTAGAGTCAAGGGGGACCAAGCGTATATTTGTTTTGTGATAGAAGCTGGTGTATCTAATATCTAATTGTATGGTCGTACATGTATGTGTGTGTGTGTGTAAGTACATTATAATAGGTATTTTTCAGACTATATATCAGAGTTGTGATCGATGTGTGCCTTTTTGTACAAGGACACAAGCTTTGAAAGACATCTCTTCATGTCCGTAAATAGTTAATTAATAGGTTGGTAAATCAATTCAACATAGTTTTCTTTAACAAGAAAAACAAGGCTGTGTATCTAGTAAGAAAACTATGTTGAATCTCTGTATGTTCTCGAGGAATATGAGTGGAAAGGAAAAGAAAGCAGAGACCTGTGTAACCCTAACAGTACATGTTATGGTCATGTAAAGGCCTTCCTTAATTCTAGCCTTGAGATCTTATGATGGCTTATAATCACAAAAGCCTGTACCGGGTAACTACATGTAGATTTAGGAAACTGAGGAGCCTTAGAAACATTGTAGGTTCTTAAAAGAATCTTAATAAGTTAAGCCCACAAGGGTCTTGATTCAAGTTTAAAAGAAATCTGAATCTACAAATTTCAAGTCAGATAGGTTTATGCCTATATGACTTGAAGAGTCAAGCAGAGAGGAAGAGGTTATGCTGATTTTAAAATGTCTGGCAGTACAAAAGCCATGAAAATACATGTATATTGAAAATTTTGACATACTGTGTTCCTTTAGGGAATGGGAGTAAGTTCAGCATAAATGTCATTCCAGCTCCACATGTACAAGTAGGCCACATTATTGTTACCAAACATTTATTCTGCAGATCTGAACACAACTCCGTGTAAAACATTTTTCTCATAGGTGGGATGAAGATTTGTACCCTCTCATAAGCAGTGGAGGTACATTTGTACATTGTATGTCCAATTTGAGATGAATTTAACAACGTTTCAGAGCATTCTATAAAATATCTAGTTTAATCACACTAATCACACTTTAAAAAGTGAAATTCCTACAAAATTTGAAGCCTCAACTATTGGGGTCTACTTCAAAGTATGAGCCACTGCAAAGTATGGTGTACTAGTATGTAGTTTTGAAGGGCACCATTAAAAAAGTATTATTGAGAGACCAAGATCAATTAGATAGCGGTCTTGCATGCTTGACTCTTACATGTGATTTTGAGTGAAATGAAATAATAAATGACTGAAAAACAACCCCTATGAATGAAACTTAAGTCATATGAATGGAACTGAACTTCAACAGCTACATTATGTACCATGTAATATGAGGGGAGGGGGGCATTTTAGGTAAGATTGCCTGTATAAATTTAAGCTAGAAAGTTTCAGTTGCAGACTTTGTTTAAAAAAAAGCTCTGCTAACGTTGTGCATGTAGGAGGACATAAAAGCAATCACGTCATAATCGTCTTGTCTGCTTTATGTTTGATGAGAAAATTGTGAAGAGTCTAACGTTATAAGATGTGAACAAAAAAAATTATTTATAAACACTGTTGAATGTTGAGCTTTAAACTGGCTGCTCTGATACTGATTCTGAGAGGGTTTTGAGTAAAACAGTATTAGTGGGGGGACAAGATGGAAAAGATGATCAATTTAAATTCATGCTGGAATGGACAGAACAGATATTGGAACAACCCAAAACACTGTGTCCTCACTGATTTATGTTACTACATTACTTCATAAGTAAGTACTAGTAGTTATTTCCTTGTCAATGCAACTTCTAAATGGTTTGAATATGAATCTATTATCGGATGTCTACAACAAAGAAAGGTTTTTACTAAACGGAAAATATGTGTAATCTTTCTGCGTTTGTGATGACGTGTATCTCTGTGGTTTATCAGTAATGACTTCATTAAAGCTACTTAAAAGTTCTTAGTCTAGTTTGTGCTTGTATCAGTAAAACATATCACATGCCTGCACAATATTTCACATTGTGGAAGAAGGAATTTATTACAATCACTTCAACATGATATTACTGGCAAGTTGTTGTTTTTTTTGTTTAAAAAATCTAAGTTAAAAATCAGAAGTCAGTTGATATTGTTGTAAAATCAATTTTGTAGAAAAATGAATTCATTATCATTAAAAACCCTGTGACACATGGTCAATAGGTAAATTTGTGACATTGAAAAATTCAATCATTTCATTCATTGGAAAATCAATTCCATTGGCTAAAAAAGTTTAAAATATCAAGATCTCTAAAATGAACTTAGATGTAAACAATCATTGCAACTTCAATGACAAACATCATTGAACACTACAGATATGCAACCAATTGTGACTGCACTGAATTTCAAGACTATGCTGCCTATAACCTTTCTACCTAATTTTATGTTAACAACTTTTACATTGAATCGTCTGAAATTTCTAAATTCTACAAGACCAGGTCCCCACTTAGCCTGGGTGCCATCCCCAGTAGTATATTCGCCAGCTCTATAACTTATAGCTCCAGTTATAGAGCTGGCGAATATACTACTGGGGATGGCACCCAGGCTAGTCCCCACTAACATCACAGACTTTAAAATGCAACAAGCATCAAAACTCAGCCCACTGTCCAGAAATGCTACTACCGTAACTTCAATGAGCCCAAAGGTGATCTGGAAACTCATACCTTTAGGAGATGCAATCACAGTGGACAGAACTGACACTGAGTGACAACTTAAGAAAGGCACATTGGAATAGGGAAAGGCCACAAAAAATGGATTTGCTTGGAAATTACTAAGTGGCTGAGAGGAATGTTAGGAAGACTAGCTCCTCTAGCATTTGGGAAGAGAACAGTGAAATATTTTCCCCATTATTTCCACTGCACCTCCTAGTCTCCACTCCTCACATGACTGCAGAAGAGTGGACCTTGCCAGCCTGCCAACGTAACAGAATAATCATAAGCGACTATACTAGTTATCAAACCAGCACTGCTGTGTAGGCCCTATTTGTATCTTTTGTGAAAGATTTGTTGTACAAACTTAACAAACGAATTGCTTGTTTAGAGATCTAAGGAACAAAAGATCTATGGAACAAAAGAGAAAGCAGGTGTAGCCGTGATGCATCGATGTATCGCTGATAAAAATATGTGCAGAAGATGCATGTATGCACAAATTAGACTCAATGTAAACTTTGAACCATAGTAAGATTTCAACATGCTGATACATTTTGTACATGTAACACATTGCTAAGTCATAACAAGAGTCTGTAACATTGAAAGCTTATCTATATCAACTTCTAAAGGAACAAAACCATGTATGATTGAAGGACATAAAACCTTACCTGGAAAGGGTGATTCAGTTTCATTGAGACAGCTGACACACCATTCACATACATCAGAATCAGCAAGTCTGATTATACATAAAAAAGGAGAAAAATCAACACATGTCAAAACTAATCTTTTACCATTAGACCACACTGACTTAATTACTGTAACGTTATATGGATGACATCCGGGTGCACATTAATTTTCGTCTGTTTCCAAAAAATGCCACCATATTATAAATCATTCAAAGAAGCTAGAGTGTTCATCATATGCCGTAAATTGAAACAAAGGTATGCCAGAAAACAGATGCTATTGTAATAGAATGGAAACAAGTAGCTAGGAAAACGACTTAGCCTCCCAACATCTGCTTGGAGATTAGAGAAACCAACAGAAGAAACTGGTCTTTGAGCAGAGGAGCACACTTATAGGTTAGTTCTCAATATGGTGGTGATGAGGAAACTTTGTTCTTGAAATTAGACATGAATCCAGTCAATCAACCAGGCGAATTATACAGGCGTCAATGATGGCGAATCAACCTACGGTAGAATCAACCATAAATTCGGCATGTCTGCATAAGCGGTAGGACTTTTGTGTGGTTGGCATTAATTTAGCTCCAGCCGCTCAAAACTCCTACCGGATGCAAAGTGAAAGCATAGAGCTCCTAGTTTAGAGCCCCAACAAGCGTCCACGCAATTTACGATAGAAATGGAAAACAGCCTGCAAAGTTACGTTTATGGCTTACAAATAAGGGAGGTGAAGTGCATGGATCAAAAACGACCTCTAGCAGTTCAATGAAGGACTGCACCATAATGTTGACAAAGCTGCGCCTACTACTGCAGTGATTTTTGTTCGCCGCTATGGGGCGCTTTTGATCCATGGCGAGTTCAACGCCGAACAGAGCCAGTGATTTTTTCGCCGCTATACATATGGAGCGTTTTTCAATCAAGACCAAGCCTCAGATTTGCCACGTTTCTTTGAATTGGCATTTAAATATGATGATAGATTAAGTGGTAATTAAAAAAAAACAATAAAAATCTACAAACAAAAGTTGTTTTAGCTGTCAAAATGGATTTCATAATGAGGGCAACCATTTCTTTCCCCAAACTTGTCCATATGCTTGCATCAGTTTTGGGGGTGCCCAGACGATGTCGTCCACATAATCAACTTAGTATGGCCTTTTCTGGTTGAGAACCCAAAACATTACTCTCCAAGCTGAGGTTGTGGGGGAATGATCGTTACATTTTTATATATTGCCGTTTTTTTTTTTGTTGTCCTGACCGCCACCAAACGTCGGTGGCCGCAGACCTTCTCTGCCTAATGGATACTGCCTGGCCAATTTGATACGATCTTTTTGCCACCGAGAGGGATCTGCTTGGAGATTATATAGCAGATGTCTACTAGATTATACTGTTAGAGAAGAAGGGTAATGTTAGTGTGTGAGTACAAGCATGCACAATGGTCAAGCATCTTATTTTTTGGTTTAATACAGCAGAATGACAAGTACAAAACTGTTTGACAAAATGTTATTGTAATAGAGTACCGTATCTTACTATGAGGAAGTAGAATCAGATGTGCACTACATATGCATGCATTACCAGGACATCAAGAAAGAACACATGATATTGCATGATACTTAGTGTTAATATAATGTAATAGTTACATGACTGTTTAATATTCATATTAATATGTAACATGCTTGCTTGCAACAATAGATGCAACTTGAGACCACAAAGGCATTGATCTGAACAACCATTACAAATTTAAGTAAAGATTTCTACAGGGTTCCTAACAGTCAAAGCTATAAACGAAAGTATACATGCATGGTTAATTTTGTAAGCAGTGACATCATACTGTTATATGGTTGTCTATCCCACCTCTGTAACTTCAGTACGTACATATACAAAGTTAAAGACGTAAATGATGATAGTATTCATGCCCTTAGCCAGGATTTTGAAGGGGAAGGGTTCTTCCCACTGCTTGAGGGACCAGCGAGCGCCAAAGGCACGAGGCAATCGCTGAAGGCGCAAGGCACCTAGGGGGGTTTGGGGGCATGCTCCCCTGGAGAATTTTGAAAAATGAACCTTCTGAAATGGCACTTCTGGCGTTTTTGAGAGGATTTCAAAGAAAAAATCAGACATAACTTTTTATTCAATGACAAAGTGAGCAGTTCTACGATTCCAGCCCCGCTGGTGATATGAATCAGTCCATCTTTTAAAGAAAAATCTTGAATAAAGATAAAAAGTGGACCTTTGAGCCTTGTGAGGGGTTTGTCCGAACCCCCCCCCCCCTGGCTATGGGCATGGGTGGTGGTGTGGTTTTTTTTTTTTTACAAAAATATAGAAAATATTACTAGAAGACAAAGCATTAGTGACATTTCTACTGGAATTTCTATTTCTAATGATTAGTTTATGATTAGTCTTCAAGGCTTGAAATACCCAGTGAGCAACCTGACAAGCCAAGAGTTAGCTTGTTTTTAAACAATTAAGGAATCAGAACTGATAAACACACTAGCCCATACACGTAGACAGCTGCAGTCTCTGCCCCAAAACTAGGTAACGCATTATGCTATCCAATTCTGTAAACAAGTTATGCTTAGTAAGATACTACTAGTAGTATGCAATGCATAACTAGGCAACCGGGTATTTCAAACCGTGAGCAAACAATTATCAGGGATCTAAAGTCCCAGTAATACATGTAGTTATACCTGACTAGTGCCGAGCTATGGTCGGCATGGCGATGAACATGGCACTCCACTATTGCACCAAACGGCTCAAGTATCCCACAAACCTCCTACAGCCACATAAACCAACATAAGGCACAGCTGAAGTGTAAGGGTAATCAGGCCTCAAAATTAAGTTTTCTTTCTGTTGTCCCAGCAATGTCCCCAAAATAAATTTCAATTGTCCCGAAGTAAGGATGAACTGTCCCAACCTGTTTTTCGGGAAGTATTGTATGACTTCATCTTGAAGTCAACTTTATTTTGCTTATGTCCACTCCCAGGCGCACTATAATTGTAGAGTAGACAGGAAATTTGGGGGGACTTTACTGGGTCCAAAAGCCGGGACATGTGCCTGATAAACAAAGAAGGGCTGACATTCTGATTATTTTCTATTGCCCCAAAAATGTCCCAAAGTGTCACACTAAAATTTAGTTGTCCCTGCCTAAATTTTAGTGGTCAGTGGCCATTGGACCACCTTTAATTTTGAGCCCTGATACTGCTTGCAAAATTAAGTGTTTGAACATAACATATCATTAAGGTATTTGAACATAACATATCATTAAGGTACTAGTATTTGAACATAAAATATCATTAAGGTATTTGAACATAAAATATCACTAAGGTATATGAACATAAAAGATAAAATATCTTTAACTTTGAATAAACATTTACATTTATCTATATGTGAACACAACAAATTAAATAAGGTAAGTAGGTGTATCTTTTTATTGACACATGCATTAAAAGTGCTTAGATTCAAGATGTTCTAAATGCCACAACTGTAGTAAGTTTTATCAAAACATGCAAAACGTGCTACTCTGTTATGTCACATGCAAAACATGCAAATTAAACTATCGAGCCAGGATTATATACATCCGGACAGAAGGACTGAAGAGCACAACCTGCGACGTCACACCAGGAGGCAGGTTGCCTAACCGTATCCAGTCTGCTGCACCCAAAACTGCACCCTGTAGTGATAGAAATAAAATAATCATCAAATGTTCTGTCAACTTTATCACAACCTCATGCATGATGTAGCCTGATTAAATCATGCTTATAGCAACCTGCCCAACTTTGATGCCGATCATAAAGCAGTGTACAACATACTTTTTTGAACCAGGTTGCCCATCTGCCAGAAAGAGTGGACTGGTGCAAGCCAAGTGGGCATGATTTGGGGGGGGGGGCATTCTTAAAATTCAGGTAGCACACTGGGCTACCTAGGTTCAAAAATAGGTTGCCCCGAGTAAAATTTGGTTGCCCGGGGCAACTGGTATTTTGCACGCTGATAAAGGCAACGAAATCATCAGACTTTCCAAATACAAATGTATGGATGATTCATGCAACTGTCATCCATGCCTTTTTTTCACCTATAATAGCCTCAGACAGCAGTGTTTGTGTTACACAGACTATGCAGGATACAAGGTCAAAATTCTAAATTGACAAACTGTTATCCAATCAATTGTTCAATTAAGGATGAAGCAAAAATTGGTTCAATTTTGAAATGTTGGCATTCTTACCAATTCTGCAGGACTTAGATCTGGTGCCGTCTTCACCACTTCTTTCTCCTTCCCTACATAGAGAGATACCGAGAAATGGTACCGCATTAACTACACTGACTTCACACCTATTCTAAAGTACACATAGCCATCCATGGCCTCCCAACCTTGTCCAGACCATGGATACACACTTACATATGCAGAGAGAAAACATGGTGTGTGAACTGCCACGAACTGTGTATAGTTTAAAAACTTTAAAATGAAGCTTTAGATGATACATAATGATACATATTAGCACAAATAATTGCATTATAGTTTATATATAATTTATACTACAAAAAATGTACTTACTCAGGTAGGAAACACTGACACTGACTTATTAAAGAGCACAGTGTTGAAAGATTGTTTTATATTTAACACATGTAGCTATTTTGTCCTGGCCTTGGAGACAGAGATGTATGTACATGTTACATGTACCTTTATCTTGGAGTTCATTCTTCCTGCTGTGCTGTTTCTCCAGTGTTTTCTGATCATCAGTTTTGGGGCTGCTCCTCTCATCGGGGGACGCCCCTGGTGGAGACAAGTCGTCTGCTTTTCCTTTCCTCTTCCTACCAGAATTCTTACTTCTGCTAGAACTATGAGAGAAAAAAGGAAAAATTTAACATCAGTTAAATTTTCATTGAAACTCAAGTAAAATCATATGCAGCTGCTTAAGTAACTGTTTTTTTTGGCATAGCAGGGGCATTAGTTTAAATGCTGCTGTACCCATTTGATGGCAGGTGTGGCCATTGCTCAACATCGTCAGGTTCCACGATCTTCTCTCTTCTCCACCTTTTCTTGGGATCTGGAATCCACAGGCGTCTTGTCGGTTGCAGTCCTACAGTCGCACTCTGAGATTGAGTCTGTGTTTCTGACTCCCTTTCCTTGCCATTGTCATTCTTGTCTGCATTGTGGCTGGGCAGTTGTTTCAGCAATGACTGTTTTGTGTAAGCCCTGAAGTCACCTGCTGAGCCACTATTCAGAATTAATCAAGTAGGTAATTGATTAAGTGCAGAGGTGTAATCAGCATGGGTGTTACTATCACAGTAATGAGGAAGAATGTGAGTGTCATTTACCAAAATTTAGAAACAAAACAAAGGCAATTCTTTCTGTGCAATTCAAGAGTTTTCTGGCAGGTACAATCTACAGGAAAGAATATCCTCTTAGTAACTTATCCTGGATCAAGAGAGTATTCATGTTCTCTTTGTATTTGAATTGTATCATATTTCTTGAATAAAATTCTTGAAAAAAAGAGAGAGAGAGTATTCAAATTTCAAATGCTTAAAAGGCATCCAATGCAATTTCAGGGTGGCAAAACTGGATTTTCAGAAGTCAATTTTCTGGTCATTCTTTAAATGTATTAAGTTGAATAAACCCTATCCCAAAGCATGATATCTGTATGCAAAATTTGATATCGCTGATGGAAAACTGTTGTTTTTGTTTGTTTTGTAGGTTTATTTATGGATGGTGCCCAAAAAAATAAAGAGATGCCTCATGTAGCGCTTTTTGCGGCTATTTGAAACTCTTGTTGTATATACCAGTAACTGTGGAATGATGGCAAAAATGTGCAAAAGAATGACGGTAAATGTCAATATCAGACAGATGTCCTCATCCAGAATGTCCTTTTTGTTTTGCCTCGGAGTCCCTGAAATTGCATTGGATTCCTTTAAGGCCCAAACATACAATCTATACTGCAAACAAGGAGAGTCATTGGTAACTCTGTAAGAATCACACTAACCTGAAGACGTAGCCGTTGTCAGTTGCTTTGCCTGGAGTTTTGCCGAGTACCTCTGATCTGACTCTCCCCCTTCCCCGCCCAACACCAACCCTACATAACTTCTGCTTGGTTTCCTAAAAAAGACCATCATAGAGTCACAAAACAGATTTCTACGTCACGAGTAAGCTTTTGTAAGAAAGTGTGCAATGAAGTCATTGCCTTTGAAAAAATTATTAACAATACTCATATCTATTTAAGGCCACAGCAAGTAAATTTTATAGATGACATCCTCCACAGACTCCAAACCTAATGCGATACAGCAAAAAAAAAGGGCGGGCAAAAAAAAAGATTTCAAATTTTGACATCATAAATCTTGTTAGTTAAACAAGACATGATATATATATATTGTGCTAAGTTTACCGCCAACTATTACAACATCCATTTGTCATCCATAAAAATTTATACTGTGGCCTAAATTGGGATGACATGAAATAAACTAGTACTTGTGCTTTAATACTGGATGAAAAAACCTTTGCAACCATGAAGTTGTATATTTACACACAAAAAAACTGTAGAAAGTTTACTTTCTGAAAATAAACCTCCACACCTGAATTCTCCAGTCATCCTCAAACTGATTGGCCAATGGACAGTTAAGAGATGAAGAAGAGGATGCTGGGTAGCTCAATGGCAGGGGCGCCACCTAGAGACAAGTACTAGACGTTCATGCAAGTTTAAGCAAGGAATGCGGGTAAAAGAAGCTACTCTCTGTTCATTAGTCACTTGTTAACTATCTACTCTTGAGAGATTAAGGAGTTGTGGGTAAATGTGTTCATGTCACAGTGAACTAATTCTCTATGAAGTTGATTTCATGAAGCAACAATACATGTATGACTACAATATATCTTTCACACGGAATGTTGAAAAAGCAGTTTCTAGTCAGAGATAGCATACATGGTTCTCTACTGTTTTCCTTGGCTCTGGGTAGGCCAGGTTTGGGGGAAGTCTTATGGATGCAGCTGGAGGTCTGGTGATGCCCCTCCCCAAACCTGGTGTTGGGACCGCCTGTAGTTCCTAAAGGACAGAAAATACAGAAAGTTTTTTCAAGATGTTCTTTAAAAAGTATAATCTGCATGTAACATAACCATTATGAAATGCCAAGTGATGAAGGGAGTGAATTTCCCAATATGTAAGTCAGAATTTCATAAAAGTGATGGTTAAATGAATGAATGAAAGACCTTTATTGTGTGTTAATGCTCTTACCAGCTAAGTACTGGTCATGTATAAAGCAGATTTAAAAATTACAGTATGAAGCATTATTGTGCCACTAAAAAGAAGTGATCAAATGGTATAGCCTCAGGTACCATCCTGGTTAGTTTTATGTTGATCAGTAGCGACTGTGGGAGGAGGCATAAACTATTATTATACCAGGATGGTTACTACCCTGGCTATATATGCTACACATCACCACACAGTTACATAATGTACCATCTTTCAACATGCAAATGTTTATGCATCTAAAAATTACAGATACCTCATCACTGCTGTCCAGTCCACTTGCTGACCCGTCTGTTTCTGAGGACTGTTGTAAGGACTGAAACTGTAGAACAGTCTGGAGGCTGTCATGGCACCCGGCATCCCAGTGTCTCCAGCGAGAAGCCATGGTGGTAAACGAACAGGGCAGGGGAAAAGTTTTGGATAGCCTGGGAAGAATGCAACAATACAGAATCAAATTTAAATACTGGTACATAATTGTGTGTAGATTATATCTGTATCAGTATAGCCGGTATAAAATAATCGCCCTTCGGCACAACATACCAGCTTCGCTGGCACACGGCGCAGCGGAAGCTGGCTATATATTAATAAATATCCTCCTCACGTACATATATGTCTGTTCCATGCCATATATATTATATATCAAAACACAAGTGTAGTATTATCACTGGCCAGTCAGCAAAATAAATGGCAATTTAACTCTGACCATAAGGCAATTTCAAGTTCAATGTACATGTAGTAGTTTCATGGCCATACTAAGTCAATACGCATATTAAATCCATACATGAAACATCAAACTTGAACCAGAATGCGTTTGAAGTATAAAAGTCAGTATGATTTCTTCAAGGACATTATACATGTGTATAATGTCCTTGATTTCTTGAACCAACCCTCCATGAATTTGCACAATTTACTACGAATTCTGAGGAAACAAAAATCAGCCTACTGATTAGGAGCAACGACAAGTGACACTATAGTACTACCTACACTAGAAATGTGAAGAAACAGATTTAACACGTATAAGAGTCTCTTATGAGTTGCTTATGAGTTGAAGTTTTGCAATTCTACCCCCCCCCCCCCCACCCCCATCCTCGACTGAGCTGAGACAAACTTTCCGAAGACAGCCTGGCTGCATTTCTTGGAATTCGCGTTCCTTTTCATCTCCAAAACCTCCTTCTGGATTATCATTATGATATCGAAAGGATCAAAAGGGACATTAAACAACATCCCCTATAATACAGATCCAATATAACAGGCAAAATAGGCTTTATATCTAAAATCAGGATGATAAACGTCAAAGTTACCGAACCCACGCTCCAGCCTCCCTTCTTGGTCCCGCTACTCTCCTAGCGTTTCTATCACAAATCGCTAGGCGGCGCATGAAAGCGTGCTTCGTCTTGCCATATATGGAACTCTTGCCATATATGGAAATTAATTTGCGTTGGCCTAAATCTATGCATATGAGGATTGTCCACATCAACAACTTTCAGAGCAAAAAAATAATTAATAGCAACCGACAGCATAGTCTAAAAGAACCACGAGAGTCAGCTCTTTACACAAATATCCTAATATCATATTTGATCGGCTAGGAAGAACACCCCTGCGAGCTATTGGTACATTCCATTTCGCGCCTTCCTTCCCTATCTAACCTTTGACCCGTAACTTGGCGGGAAAGTTGTTTGCGGCGGTGTCTCCAAAATCGCAACAATTTTTCTAGCGGGATGGCCCAGCGATCTATCGCGTAAGTAAAGCATATTTCGTGGATCTAAAAATGTCCACACGTTTTCAACATACGTCTTTACGTACTGATGGGAAATTTGCGTCTTTTGCAGGTCGTTTTTTGCGCCTAGAGTAAAGACTCCGAAACAGGACACATCGGCGTCTGGGTGAGTTTGCCGCCATAACTTTCTCACTAAAACACACTGGCGTCTACAAGACAGATAGTCTGATTTTAACGTTTTTTCGGAACGACATCAGTGTAGAGGTATCAACCATGACTAATATTTAGACTGTCTTTGATTGTCAGGGAAATAGATTAAGGGGGCAGTGATGAAAAGCTGTTGCCCCCCTCCCCCAGTCTACACAATTTGTATGAGCTCTTTGTATATCATCTCCAAAAAAATTATATACATACCGCGTAAGAACATAACATACGAAGCAAAACATATAGTCGATCATAAGTTTACCAACAACATAATTTGACTGATCAAACGAGTAGCGGAATATTAACCGGTTGGACGATGGACTAGTACTAGCAGATGAGAAAAAAAATGAAGCAAGATAAAGTAGAAAGGTAACATAATTTTGCAAAGCAAACGCATAATGTTTACCTTTGCATTTGGTCTGCTCTGTTAATTCTTACTCAAACGCATTCATATTAATGGTCAGACAGGAGTCTAAATCCCTCCTGCTATAAAATTGCAACATGATTTAACCCAACACCAGTTACCATGGTCATAGACTGTCTGGTTCAGGTTATTGACCTTTTTGTTTGGAGAAAAAGAAGAAGAGGAAACAGATCAAAAACAATGTTTTCCTTCAGAATCAGTAAACATAAAGATCTTATTTGCAGCCACATCACATGTAAAATTATATGCGCATAATTTTTTAGCTTGAAGTCACCCCTGAAGACCAAGAATGGCTCCCCTCCGGCCTCAGCCCATGGAGACGACTCCCCAGTCAAGTCTGTTCCACGTAAAAAGGCGCGGCGCATCATCGACAGTGATGATGATGATGAAGAAGAGGAGGGAGAGAACGTCGCCATGGAAACGGAACCAAGTAAATCAGCTGATGAACAGGTATGTTTGTTTGTGTTGCATAACCGGTAAACTGCCTTTAGGCACGACATACCAGTTTTGAACATGTAACTACAAGCTGCGAAAGACCGAACTGTAAGGTTTGAACCACTCATACCGGGAAGGACCCCTACTTGTTTTTAGAAGTGCGGTGGGTTCTTTAATGTGCGTGAGGTGTGACTCTCCCCAAACACGGGACCTCCATTTAACGTCCTATCCGAGGGACGTCCCTAATCGAAGATAGATACTCATTTCCACCAGTCCTGACTGAAATAAGGAAAGTCATGTAGAGTGCGTTTCGCAAGGGCACAAGATCGGAGACATGGTAGGATTCGAACCCGCGATCTCTTGGTCCTGAACACGCTACCATTTACGCCACACGACCCCACTGTTTTGTATGGTTTTTAAATTTACCAATGTTTATATAGAATGGCATAGATACCATGTTATACATTGTAGCTTATTTAGTTTGCAAATATGTTTACTAGTTAAGAAGATTATAGATAACTGAACACCAATTTATGTTAAAATGTAATTTGATTGAAAGAATAGGCTTGATTGCAGCAGTACTTTTGTAAATAAAACTCAATAAACCTCCCCTCAGAAGGAAGTGAAGGATGCTGACAGGGCCCCCAAGGTTGTGGAGAAGGTGAAAGATGAGAGTGACGAGGTTCCATCTCCCAAGATGCCGAGGGTCACGTACAACGGACCAAACCTCCAGTCTCCAGGGGGCATCCCCAAGAGGAAGACTGGTGAGAATTTCTTCAACTTGGAATGGTTTTAGTCTTGATATGTTCGCAGTTGTTTTATTTTTGCGGTTCACCTCAAATGTTTCCATTGTATTAGGCCTAGGAAAAAAATGTTTCCTGTTTTGCGACCAACCCTAGAGAAACTGCTGACCCTAGCTTTTTTTGTGGACCCCTGCAAGGGACATACATTTTATGAGCTGATTGACCTTTTCTAGCTCTATGATACCTGAGTGATGAAATGTTATACAATAATTTTGTTTTCCAACATTGACATTGAAAATGAAAGTGTCCTCATGCAAGTTTTACTTTGTGAAACTGTCTTGTATAAGTTGGATCACTAGAGATCGCCAAAGTCTAAAAAAAGAAGAAAAAAAAAAGAAAAAGAAAAAAAGATAATCCCTATCTACCGACCCTAATTCATTCAGGACTGAAACAGGAAACACAACTTCTATTTTGCCAGGCCTAATGGAATTCCAGTGTAACTGTGTTTGTGTTGTCTTTACTCCCTTGAGGACTCAAAATAGTTGGCAGAAAGATTGCTTTCTCTGTGACATAGAATTAGATCTATTAAGGATATGTTGTAAAAAGACTAATAAGGCAGCAATGTCTTAATGGAAGGTTTTCTGCCCACAGCTCGCAAGCAACTCCCCACTCCGAAACGTAAACTCATTGAGACAAAGAGCCCCACATCCAATGGGCACACATCACCCACTTCGGGTGAAGAAGAGTCAAGTGCCAAGAAAGTGAAAACAGAGCAAAAGGAAGAGATGGAAGAAAAAACAGAAGAAAAGATGGATGAAACCCCTGATAAAGAAGTGAAAAAAGAACTTAAGGATGACGGTAAGTTTTCACCAATAGTTTTACAATAATTCCCTGTTTCAATCTGGTTACAAATTCTTGACAAGTAACTAGATATCACTTGATATCAGTTTGAAGACCCTTTGTCTCCCACTACAGAAAGTGTCCAGCAAAACAAGAAGAAAAGTCCAAAGCAGAAGAAAGAGAAGCAAAGTCCAAAGTCTGCTGAGAAGAAGAAGAAGGTAAAGGAGGAGCCAGAGGAGGAAGAAAAGGAGACAGCTGGTCCTTCTGAAGACTCCATGGATTCTCTGTTTGCTGCTGTAATCAGGAAGGCAGGAGAAGCAACAGCGGAAAAAAAGGTAAAAACAGCCAGAAAGACATTATATTTGCATTGGAATTTCTCTCCATGTAGCTAGTACAATTATATTATCTTATAAGTTTGATACTGTACATGTCTTTGGCACGTTACTCGTAGATATGGTGACCCAGTTAATATATTTTTTTCATTGTGTCTGGTAAAAAAGATGGAGGAATCTGAGGAAAGCAAAGAAAAGAGCACTAAATCTTTAAAGTCACCATCTGACAAGAAAGCAGTGAAGAAGGAGGAAGACAGCAGCAAGAAAACCAGCGCAGGAATCGGCTCCTTCTTCTGTAAGAACCACTTACATAGCGTCTGTCTTCTCTGTCACGACCAGTGGAAGATTAGCTCTTCAATGAGCTAAACTGGTTCGAGATCTCTTTCTTTCACTTTCACTTCCACCTTTATCCTGTGTTCAACCCATTATCCTTAATGCTGAGGTCACATTTCCAAACCAGGGCCCAGCCGGGCATCTTTCGGGAATGAAAAGTACGATAAAAAGGCAACAAAACACACCCAAAATTTAAAAGATGACCATGAGTACTATTTCTGTATATTTATGATAAGAATTGTTGATTTTTGGTTCATACAAACAGCCCGGCCGGGCCCCGGTTTGGAAATGTGACCTCAGCATAAGTTGAGTGTAGATGTGATGATATGTTTCTTCGATGAAGAAACATATCAGACTGCCAAACATGATAACCCACACCTTCTGATACTGTAATCATTACTGTATCTCTAACTATATAGCTGGTGTAATTAACCACCCCTCGGCATAATGCACCGTTTCTTACTTTTGCAGCCCCAAAGAGACCTGCCACCTCCTCCCAGGCTTCTGATGAATCGAGTGAGAAAAAAGCCTCCCCTAAACCTGCTGCCAAGTCGATGTCTGCATTCTTCAAGCCTAAACAGGAGGCTGAAAAAACGTGAGGAAGAGCTGAGTTTACAATTTTTTTGTCTTCTTTTGATAGTACAGTAGTTCTTTGTACAATTCATGATTTATTCTCCGTAAATAATTTCATCAGGTTGGAAGATACTTAGGGTATAGAATTTTCTTCATACACAACCAGTAAGGTTCTCACCTGCTTACGTTTCGATGTCTATCAGACACCTTCCTCAGAGCTTCTGACTGGAGTTCTGCAACTCGCCGCTATTTAACGCCAAAATTACATTTAACGCCCCCCACTTTGGCGTTAAATAGCGGAGAGTTGCATAACTCCAGTCAGAAGCTCTGAGGAAGGTGTCTGATAGACATCGA